GTGTCACCTTGCAGTCACAGAGCCTAGAGCTTGAAGGAGCTTCAGATATCATCCAGAGAGGAAAAGCCTGCTTAAGCTCACACAGCCTTTGGTGGTGGAGCTGAACTGGAATTTCCCAATACCTAAACCTAGGCTCTTTCCCACTATCCTGCACAGTTTGGGGAGGGTGGACTCGAAGAAGCTTAGACCATACTGCCTTTTTCCTGCCCTCTGACTGCTCGGAGACCCTTCTTGATCAGCCTCTTTTCCCTGCTGACTCAGCCCTGTAGCTGTCCTGAGGGGAGATGTGCTCTCGGGCACCCCTAGTGGTGAAGAGCCTCCATGGCGAAGAAAGGGAAGGGCGACGAGCTCCCAGTTCCTTCACTTCGCATCTGCAGAATTTTATGAAACATCGATGCAAGACATCAGAGGGGGTGCCAGGAACGTTAAAACTGATTGGAGTTTTCCCAGAAGGGCTACCTCCCAGGAAAGGCGCATCACAATACAAAAGAGTCTGCAACTAGGGCTACTTGTTCGTAAGCATGATCAGCTCTGAGGGCTTAGAGCACAACGTCAGGGTGTGCTTCATTGAAAAGTAAGGAAATAAAAGGAGGCAGCGATGAGGGCCTGGCTCTGAAAGTGTGATGGAGGGTAGGAAAGGCATTCGAGGCAAAAGGAAGAGCCAGAGTAAAGGATGGGGTAGAGATGGCATTCTGGACCTGGTAATGCACACCCTGAGGGTACCAAATGACCCTGTCTTCACTCGGAGAACATTTACTGAGCACCTGGCTCTAGGCCAAGCCTTGGGTAGTTGGTAGGACTGAGACCCTCAGGAAGCACTTAGCCCAGTTGGCCAGGAGACCTGAACCTTTGCAGGTCCTGCCTTGGGGCCCAGAGGAGTGGGAGTTGGCCCAGCCAGCTTGGGAGGTTGTGTCACCTTGCAGTCACAGAGCCTAGAGCTTGAAGGAGCTTCAGATATCATCCAGAGAGGAAAAGCCTGCTTAAGCTCACACAGCCTTTGGTGGTGGAGCTGAACTGGAATTTCCCAATACCTAAACCTAGGCCCTTTCCCACTATCCTGCACCGTTTGGGGAGGGTAGACTCGAAGAAGCTTAGACCATACTGCCTTTTTCCTGCCCTCTGACTGCTCGGAGACCCTTCTTGATCAGCCTCTTTTCCCTGCTGACTCAGCCCTGTAGCTGTCCTGAGGGGAGGTGTGCTCTCGGGCACCCCTAGTGGTGAAGAGCCTCCATGGCGAAGAAAGGGAAGGGCGACGAGCTCCCAGTTCCTTCACTTCGCATCTGCAGAATTTTATGAAACATCGATGCAAGACATCAGAGGGGGTGCCAGGAACGTTAAAACTGATTGGAGTTTTCCCAGAAGGGCTACCTCCCAGGAAAGGCGCATCACAATACAAAAGAGTCTGCAACTAGGGCTACTTGCTCGTAAGCATGATCAGCTCTGAGGGCTTAGAGCACAACGTCAGGGTGTGCTTCATTGAAAAGTAAGGAAATAAAAGGAGGCAGCGATGAGGGCCTGGCTCTGAAAGTGTGATGGAGGGTAGGAAAGGCATTCGAGGCAAAAGGAAGAGCCAGAGTAAAGGATGGGGTAGAGATGGCATTCTGGACCTGGTAATGCACACCCTGAGGGTACCAAATGACCCTGTCTTCACTCGGAGAACATTTACTGAGCACCTGGCTCTAGGCCAAGCCTTGGGTAGTTGGTAGGACTGAGACCCTCAGGAAGCACTTAGCCCAGTGGAGAAGACAGGTCAGCAAACTGACAAGCTTGAGGCAGTGGGAGAAGCACTAAAGTAGAGGAAGTGCAGGTTGTGATGGAAACTGGGGAGGTGGTGAGTATGGGGAGGCTTTCTGGAGGAGGTACTGTTTTTACTGAAATGTGAATAGGATTTAGCCAGGTTGGGGGTAGGGACTATGCAGGAAGTGTCCCAAACAGGGGAGCTGTGTGTGAGGTTCTTGAGATGGGACAGGGGACAGATGGGACTCAGGTGAGGAAACATGGCCTTGCCGAAGGTTCTCACAAGCCAGCGGAGGGGCTATTTTCCCCAGAATGTGGGCCACAGAAGGGAGAGGATGTGAGGCAAAGATTCTTTTCACCGCTCAGGGTGCTGCCTGGGAGAATTCCACCTCTGATTGTTCCTCCTTCCTTCCTGTGGGTCCCTGCGTCCATCCCTACTGCTCCCCAGTCTTGGGACCATCAGGGCTATGTGTCCACTGCAGCTCTCAGCTCCTTTCAGCATGTTTTGTGGTGGTGCCGTGATTTAAGCACACCGTGGTGGTCAGGAGTACCTGGGGTGGGTCCCTTAGCACCAGGGAGAAGCCTCGGGGCGTTCCCTGGAAGAGAGATGTTCCCCAAAGGTGGCTCAGGAATACTTTGGAATGGGAGGAGGAGAAGCCCGCCAGTTCAGGAGATGGTGGGCTGTGGGGAGGGTTTAACTCACTTCCTAGGTGCCAGGACACTTGGGGTCCTTGAGCAGCCACCAGAGGGCCAGATCAGCGCACTGGCGTGGGACTCCTAGCCTGTGTCCCGTGTCCTGACCACCTGCTGCCCTCATTCGCCTTTCTGCAGAGCCCAAGGAGCTGCCCTGCCTTGGAAAAGGACTTTGACACAGTTTCAAAATAAAGTGGAAAAAAATATCTGGAGGGGAAAAAGAATAAACACACTTTAAAGATGCAAAAGGAAGCATTTATTTTTTAAAAAAGGAAAAATATGGAAGAGTTCCTCATCCAACTCACTTGAGTGAAAGTTTCCAGCCACTGTGATGTGAGGTCAGGGTCTTCAGGGAGCGGGAAGTTCTGGATGCAAACATCTGGAGTGTCCTCAGTGCGGATTCAGGATCAGTGTAGCCAACAGCAAGGGCCACCGTCCACCTGCCACCCTCTGTGTTCTGTGTGGTGGTGGAGATACAAAGACCTGATTCTTCCCTCCAGCTGAGGGTCCAGTAGGGCAGCGAGGACTGTTGGACAAGAGAGAGTGTGACAACTGTCATGGCAGAAAGGTTCCAGTGAGCATGGAGGAGTCCAGGGGGCAGAGAGGGTTCACATCTGCGGGCTGGAGAGAAAGCTCGGTGCTGCTGAGGGAAGGTTTCAAGGAAGAGCTGGATTAACTTAGACTTTGAAACCTGACTGGGATTTCAGCAGACAGAGACTGAGGAGAGGCTTTCCGGGTAGAGCTGAAGTGCAAGGTGGGAAATTCTCTAGTACTTTGAGAAACAGGGACATTCAGTTTTCTCAAGCATTTCTTTATTTGCTTATCTATTTATTTAAAACTACTCTATTGAGAGTTATATGTCACATATACTTCACCCATTTGAAGTGTACAATTTACAGTCGTATAACTCACACTGCAATCAATTTTGGATGATTTTCATCACCTCAGAAAGAAACGCTGTACCTACTAGTAGTCACTTCCCATTCCCCAGGCCCTAGGCAACTCCCTGTCTACTCTCTGTTCCTGTGGATTTGCCTATTCTGGATATCTTATATAAATGGAGTCATATTATCTGCGATTTTTGGTGACTGATTTTCACTTAGCAAGATGTTTTCAAGGTTCACCCATGGTATATAGCATGTGTCAGTACGTCATTCCTTTTTGTTTTTCTCTGCCTCCATTCCTTTTTATGGCTGAACAGCACTGCTCTATGGACAGACTACACTTCATTTATCTACTCATCAGTTCAGTTCAGTCGCTCAGTTGTGTCCAACTCTTTGCGACCCTATGAACTGCGCAGCACGCCAGGCCTCCCTGTCCATTACCAACTCCTGGAGTTTACCCAAACTCATGTCCATAGAGTCGGTGATGCCATCCATCCATCTCATCCTCTGTTGTCCCCTTCTCCTCCTGCCCCCAATCCCTCCCAGCATCAGGGTCTTTTCCAGTGAGTCAACTTTTCGCATCAGGTGGCCAAAGTATTGGAGTTTCAGCTTCAGCATCAGTCCTTCCAATGAACACCCAGGACTGATCTCCTTTAGGATGGACTGGTTGGATCTCCTTGCAGTCCAAGGGACTCTCAAGAGTCTTCTCCAACACCACAGTTCAAAACTCATCAGTGATGGCCATCTGTGTTGCTTCTACTTTGAGACTATTATGAGTATGCTCCTGAGAACATCTGTGTACCAGTTTTCATGGGCATGTATGTTTTCAAGGCTTTTCTTTTCGAATGGGATCCAGGATAGTCCTGGTGAGGAGCAGGAGGAAAGAAGATGAATCAGAGGGACCTGCTCACCCACCGACTGCTCTGAGCAGTTGGGTGGGAGTGCAAAGATTCAGCTCAGGATCCTGTTCTGGTCTCACTGGGAACTGGGGCTGTGTGAGGCCAGGGCAGGGCTGGCCCCCCACCAGCAGACACCCCCAGTGTTGTGTTCAATCTGGAAACTGTTTGCTGGGCTGGAAATAATCTAGGCAGCTGGTATTTTCCCTGGAAATCAGGTGCTTTTTCCTGTGTCTCACTGAGGGCCAAAATTAGTTGAACACGTAGAGAAGTGTGAGCTACACTGTTAATCTAGGGGAGGGGAGTGTTGTCAACAGGAAGCTGACCGGCCAGGGGAAAGGGGTGGTCAGGAAGATGCAGGTCAATAATCCAAGTGTAAATTGGGGTTAAGTTGCAGTGCCCCTCCCCCATCACACACACACAGAGGCTGTGGTTTTGTTTACAGGAAATGCTGCAATTGTCTCCCTGGCCCCATTTGACAGATGGGGAGACAGAGGCACTACATTAAAGGGATCTCCCATTCAGAAACAGAAGAAGGATTAAAGCCACAGTCTGGTTCTGCTGTCAGCAGCAGGTTTGGTAAAACCCAGGTGTTGCCCTCAGCGTTATGGTTGTTTTTGGGTTCACAGGAGCAGGCTGAGGACACAAGAATAAGAAAGGGTTTGTGCTGTTTTGATCTCCTAAAAAAGAAGACTAAACCCCACCTTAAACCCAAAGCAAAAGCATAAAATAGGGCTTTAATTACCATCTTTTCTTTTATCCCCTTTTCTTCATTTTTTTTGTTCCCCAGCCAGAAAACATTATGTTGTTGGACAAGAATATTCCCATTCCACACATCAAGCTGATTGACTTTGGCCTGGCTCATGAAATAGAAGATGGAGTTGAATTTAAGAACATTTTTGGAACACCAGAATTTGTTGGTGAGTTTTACGCCTGTTTTTCTCCCAGCTGAGAATCTGGGATCAACAGATAGAGAAATCCCAGGAGCGAACCCTGTATCTGGGGCTGTAGCCTCTGGGCTGAGAGATAATGCCTTGTGTGCGTGCGTGCGTGTGTGCCAAGCTGCTTTAGTCATGTCCGACTCTTTGCGACCCTGTGGACCATAACCTGCCATGCTCCTTTGTCCACAGGAAATGTCTTGCTGGCCTCTGGGTGAGGGTTGAGCACCAGCGGGGCAGTGGGAGGCCAGGTGGGGCTGGGGCCATTTGCAGAGTTAAATCTTCCCAGAGCTGGCCCCACTTCCTGCTCTTAGACAAGCTGATTGTGAAGATTTAAAATTACCTCACCCTGTTGCATTCCCATAAACTCGATCTTTTCTGGAGTAGCTTTTGATTTCCTAAAAAAGAAAAGGGAAATTATCTGCCAGATGCCAGATCCACACACTTGCCTGTCCCATACATCTGGCCTTCATTCGTGCACAGAGTGCCCAGTTCCAACAGGGCTCTGGCGGCTCTGTCTTCCCTCTGTGTCTCTCAGCCTCGGCCCAGGCCACAGAAACCCCCTTTTAGGACTTGTGCCACAGGTCAGGGGGTCATAAAGAAACAGCTTTGCAGAGGAGAAAGCAGTGAGAATTGAGAACCACCATCTCACTGCTCAGGGAGTTGAAATGCTCTTAGAGATGAAAGGAGGGCATGGTTTCCTCAAAATCTGGGGACTGAAACTTCTGACCACAGTCTAAACAAAAAGAAAGATGAACCAGATCATCCACCATGATGGAGCTTCAGGCCACATATACCAACTCTGTAGCCACTAGGGAATGAAACTGCAGAAGCCCCAGCAGGGGAATCTTGCCATGTGCCAGGCACTAGGCCTGGTGTTCTGTATACAGACATTGTCCAGTTAATACCCATACAATCCTCGGAAGAAGGTTCAAAATATTTTCTCCATCAAGTGCCTTATTCAAGGTAAAACAACCAGTACACGATAGGGCAGAGATTCAAATACAGATACATCCAACATCAAAGCCTATGCTCTTTTTTTTTTTGATTGCACTCCGCAGCATGTGGAGTCTTAGTTCCCTGACCAGGGATTGATTCTGTGCCCCCTGCAGTGGAAGCGCAGAGTCCTATACACTGGACCACTAGGGAAGTCCCAAAGCCTATACTCTTTCCCTTATACCAGGATATCTCTCGAAGGAGCCTTCAAGGGGCTTATAATTTAGCTGTGGAAACAAGACATCAAACCATCAAACAATAGTGCTAGAGGGATCTTTTCAGATCATCTGGTCTAGTTTAACAGACATGGAATTGGAGAGCTAGGGGATTTTAGTTAAAGTCAACCAGTGGTTATTCTCTAGCTACCATATGATAGACATCAGATGCTGGAGACACAGGGATGGTAAGGAGCCACAATCAGAATGACACACCCAGGGTCACAGAGTGAGTGGCAGAACCAACTTGAACCTACGGGTACAGGTGTACAGTCTCAAACTTTGCCCAAGATAGCAGTTCAGTTCAGTTCAGTTCAGTCGCTCAGTCGTGTCCGACTCTGTGCGACCCCATGAATCGCAGCATGCCAAGCCTCCCTGTCCCTCACCAACTCCCGGAGTTTACTCAGACTCATGCGCATCGAGTCGATGATGCCATCCAGCCATCTCATCCTCTGTCGTCTCCTTCTCCTCCTGCCCCCAATCCCTCGCAGCATCAGGGTCTTTTCCAATGAGTCAACTCTTCACATGAGGTGGCCAATGTATTGGAGTTTCAGCTTCAGCATCAGATAGCAGGTACTGCCCACCATTCACATATGTGGTAAAAACGCATGTTTTATTTAAGTTCAAACCAAGGGTTGAATAATAATAACTGGTTCAACTAGAAATTCAGGGCAGTAATGGAAGAGTTGTCATGAGAGAGGATGTGGTTAATTGTCAAGTGAGTGATACAGGCAGCTCTGAAAGACTGTTACACGAGATAGCCACTCTCACAAGGTCAGTGGGCTCAGTCCTGGCCTTGAGTGAGATACACGGTGCTGGTGTTGTGGGTGGAGGGGAATCTAAAGGGGGGTGGGGTGGGGAAGAAGCCAGGGCGGAGGAGGTGCATATCTGAGGTACCCCAGTTTATCAGGGACAGTTCACTGTCTTTTCTAGATGGATCAGAGGGTTCACATGGACTGGCAATGTGATTGGGACACTGATGGGCAGAGCCAGACAAACTGTGGAGGGTTTTTCCAAGTGATATACTGGTAAATGTCTAACAGTCAGGTCTCAGGGCAAAGCAAAATACAACCCTAATTTATAATATTTACCAGTTTCTAGCTACCGACCTGTTTCACTGAATTCAGAGTTGGGAAGAGATGCACACAATTGACCCTTGTGAGCCAGTATGATACAACTCCAGCCTAGAACTGGTCTTATTTGCTCCTTACAGATATATAAGGTGGTTTCTCTAAGCCCCTGCCCAAATTATGATGACTTCCTTTTCCCAAGACCCCTGAACACAGGTTATAACCACTGTTCCCTATTCCCACCATTCTTTGAAATTTTAACCTGAGACCAGGGTTAAAAACTGTCAGCTTCTGGGAATGTGGTGGCCAACTTCTTCCAAAAGGTCTTCTCACTACAAAATTGGATTCTTGAGAAAAATATGGTTTTTAATGTGATTCTGGACTTAGGAAGTAAGATAAATCTCTAAATACAGTTACTCCTTCAGCATCTCCTCTCCTACCCTAAAAATTGAGTGAAATGAACTTAGAGCCAGAGCTGTGAGCTACAAGAATATTCAGTAAGACCATCGCTCCTAAAGGCAAGTGCACATGTCAGCATTTATCAGAGACTAGCAAGATTTAGATGTTCAAGGAAGTAGGATATTAAAGTGATCAGATGTTGACTATAAAATAAATGGAATGTATATAGAAATAACAGGTAAACTCTTAAGAATGAGCAAGCAACAAGAGATTCAAAAATGACCAGGTAAATTTTTAAAAGAACCAGATAGAACTTGAAGAAATTCATACGCTCATTGAAATTTTAAACTCGGTGGATCAATGGCTAATTCATTTCAATGTATGACAAAAACCACTGCAATGTTGTAAAGTAATTAGCCTCCAACTAATAAAAATAAATGGGGAAAAAATAAATAAATAAACTCAGTGGATGGGCCAAACAGCAGATTATACACAGCTGAGGAGAGAGTTAAAGAATTGGAAGTCTGAGTTGGAAAAAATTAGCTAGACTATCACACAGTGGCAAAGATATAGAAATAGTAAAGAGAGGATAAGTGGAATAAGGTTAAAATAAAAGGTTTAACATAGGTCTATTTGGATTCCTGGAGGAGGGAATTAAGACACTAGAGGGGCAGTATCTGAATAAAACTGCTGAGAATTTTCAGAACTGATGTAAAAACATGCATCCCCAGATACAGAAAGGACAGTGTATTTCAATCAGAAAGAAGTCCATACCTATAAGGTCCATACATTATACTTAAACTATAAGGCATCAGAGACAAATAGAAGATCTTAAAAATCAACCAGAGAGAAAAGACAGATTGCCTACAAAAACCAAAAATAAACAAAAACCAATAATTTGACTAACAGCATACTTCTTAAAATGACAGTGTCCAATAGAATATGATATTCAATGAACTGGGGAGAAATAAAAACTCCATAGTTGTGAAGAAATTGTATTTCAAGAATGAAAGTAAGAGATTTAAAAAAAAAAGCAAAAACAAAATAAAAAGAACAACAACAAAAAAGATAAATAATAAAAACAACCTCCAACAGACCTTTGTTAGGGGAACTTCTAAAAGTTGTACTCGGAGTTCTAAATGCAAGAAGTAATAGGAGCAAAGAAATCAGTGAACATTAGGCAAATATAATTATTTCTTTCCTAAATAATGATGATGATGATGAAGCTTAAATATGGGGTTGAAAAAAGATAGAACTAGACACTGAAGAAAATAATGTTAGATAGGACAGAGTACTTGAAATTAGTGTTCTAAAATTCTTGTATTGTTAGTGTGTGTGTGAGTGTGAGTCGCTCGGTCGTGTCCGACTCTTTGCGACCCCATGGACTGTAGCCCTCCAGGCTCCACTGTCCATGGGATTCTCCAGGCAACAATACTGGAGTGGGTTGCCATTTCCTTCTCTACTGTATTGTTAGAGGAGGGCCGAAATATTGCTTTATGTTAGAATTTGTTTCATGTCCATAGTAAAATCTCAGGGGTAGTCATTACAAAAATAGAAGTTAGAGAAAAAACAGCCAATAAGAAAACTAACAAGAAGCAATTTTTTAAAAAGACGAGAAAGAAAAACACAGATGAAAGTGGAAAAACAAAAGCACCTGGAGGACAGAAATGAGTATGTATTTATATCAAGCAGATGAGCACTGAAAAGTGAGTTGTGCTTCTCAAACTCTCTATGAGGAACAACTTGGGGGAAAATAGTATATCCTGGACAGCTTCTTCAATAAGATACAATACAAATCAATTCCTAGAAAAGTGACCATGGTGTGAGTGTCATGGCAATGTCAAATTGCTGTGTGTGTGTGTGCTAGGTCGCTCAGTCGTGTCCGACTCTTTGCAACCCCATGGACTGTAGCCCTCCAAGCTCCTCTGGCCATGGGATTCTCCAGGCAAGAATACTGGAGTGGGTTGCTATGCCCTCCTCCGCGGTATCTTCCCAATCCAGGGATTGAACCTGGGTTTCCCACACTGCAGGTGGTTCTTTACCAGCTGAGCCTCTAAATACATACTCTCAACTTCTGTTCATATCTTGTCAGCACCCATGACAGTCTGCAGATTATTTGCCTGCAGACTGTACTTTGAATATCACTGTCCTAGTGAAAGACTTTCTTGTGTGTCTCAGGAGACAGGTACAGAAGAGCTCAGAGCAATGTTTTTTCAATAAAAGATAATAATACAATAAAATAATAAAAATAAGTATAGACCCACCCAAATGATCACCAAGGAAGTGACTGGAAGATAGTCTGTATTCACAAAGTGGACTGTTATATAACAGTGAATATGAAAGACCATGGGTGAACATTCAGTGAATGCTGGAAGCATCAGTTGAGTGGGGGAAAAAGGTCTATTGATGGTAGATGAGATTCAGTATGGCATCATTTTTTGGAAGCTGACAAGAAAGCAAAGCCAGGAGAGTGGCTCCCTGCATCTGGGAGGGTGGGATGGTGGGCTCATCCTATAGATGCAGAGGTTTTGATATTGTTCTAGATAAACAAACTTAGCCTTCCCCTCTCTCCACCGTCTCCCATTCCTGATTAAACAGGCTCAATCCTCCCTTTTCTAGTTATCGCCTCCTGTTTCTTTTCTATTTCATCACCAAGCTTTTTTAAAGAGTCATCTGCACCCTTATCTCACAGCCCACACTCAGCCCTCTCTGGTCACTGCAGTGGGTGTGAAATTCAACACTCACTTTCCAGTCCATCCAGGGCCATGGGCTTGATCTCCAGGCAGCATTTGGTTCTCTTCTCTCCTGGGTAGTCTTCTTTTCTAGACTCTGCCCCTTCTCATGGTCCTGGCAGCATGCACATGGCTCCTGTTTCTACCTGTGTGATGACCTGGGTAATGGCTCTGGCCCACCTCATTCCTTTCCCAGGTGCCCAGCCTGTTCCTGGCACCTTCTTTTGGATGCCCCTCAGACATCACAGGCTCCTCACCTCAGTGGCCACCAGAATGTCCTCCTGCCCCTGCTCAGGTGGGAGGTGCCCTCTTTAGACACCCTCAGAGGAGTGTGGATTCTCTCTCTGCCTCCTTTTCTCCCCCATCACCTTCCAGCACTGGCCTGACTGGTTTCCAGCTGAGAGTTCTAAAGCAGTCTTTGTTGTGGGCCCCACTGTCCCCTCCTGCACCCTCCTCTCCCCACCCTCCTCTTCCTTTTCCAGGAGTCCCCTTATGCTTTCTGGCTTCCTCACTATCAGAATAACAGGCAACTTCCTCCCTCAAAATCCTTAGACCCAGGTTATCTCCATCTGCCTCTCTAATTTTCCTTAGAGAGGGTTTAGGATGGAGACATTTGGCATCTAATCCCCTAAAATTCCTTAAGATCATCCCTTCTCCTTTTCTTACTCCTGCTGACTCTTCAACATGGCTTCTTTCAGCTCCAGAAATTGTGAACTATGAGCCCCTGGGACTGGAGGCTGACATGTGGTAAGTGGGACAGGCCACCCAGGTGGCCCCATATCCTGGCTCTGGCTGACATCCCCCCTGGATGAAAACCTCTTCCTCCACACTCACCTTTAAGAGCCTCTGGCTGTTCCTGGGGTGCTGGCATGTGGCCAGTTAGCACATGGCCAAGGCAGAGAACAAGGGGCTGGAAGCTAGAGGTACAGGCTCACCCTGAGACTGCCATGGCCATGATAAAGATACTAGTGACAATAATTCGTTCTGTTGGCCAACCATGTGATCACTGGGGGCCTCATGTATCCCAGCTACTGTGCTGGGCTGGGGCACACCACAGTGATTGACTCTGCACAGACAGGGCTCATTTCATGTCAACTGTGCTATACAGTTGGCTGAGCACCTTGATCACTTGGTTTTCTAAAATCCTCCCAGTGGTCCTGTAAGATAGTTATCATTATCCTCATTTTATGAGGCGAAAGAGGCTCAGAGGTGGTCATCACAGATATAAGTGGGCCCTTGGACTCAACGTCCAGAGCTGGTTGACCCTGAGCGAGTCCCAGGCTGCTGCTGAAGTGTGGGGTGGGGAGGGGTGTGGGGCTTGAGGCAGCGTGCGGGGGCTGCCCTGAAGGGGCCCTCAGAGCCATACGGGGAGTCGCTTGCTGGTCTGGGAGGAGAGCCAGGCGGCCCTGACTTGACTGTTCTTTGTTTTGCAGGAGCATCGGTGTCATCACCTACATCCTGTGAGTATGACTGATCCTGGGGCCCTGACCCAGCTCAGATCCAGGGGGAGCAGGACGAATGAGAGAGGGGCAGGCAGGCAGACAGACAGACTGACATTTCCTGAGCACCCACCATGACCAGATGAGTTAGATTCACACAGCCAACCTGAGGCTAAGTGCTCTCAGCTCGATTTTGTAATTTGAGCCTGGCCTTGGGGTTGGGCAGGAACCCGGGAGAGCAGCCTGCAGCCCTCCATTCTGCACTGCTTGTGTCTGCATCCCTACTGTGGCCGGGATCCACCGTGTGGTCTCACCCGGACCCAGGTTTCCGGTGAGAATGTCAGTTTTCACTCAGAAACCTGGGACAGCCCTCAAGTCACCATGCCCTTCCTTATCCTGCTTGTCTTTCTCTGCCTTTCCTCTCCCTTCCCCAGAACCCCTTTTCCTCTCACATACTGTCTCTTCTCTTTTCCCCAGAGTCTCTCTTTCTTAACTCTGAAGTATTAAGTGCGTAAGCAGAGATTTCCTACATTGTGTAGCGAAACTGTCACTTTCCATCTCTATGGCCTAGGGCAGAAAAACAACCTCTGGGCTTGTTTTTCTCATCAGAAAAATAGGAATCATAAACTTCCTGCCACGGGTGTGTTGAGAATTAAATAAGCCGACGTGCAAACTTCCTAGCACTGCTCAGCCACAGACATGGCTGATTAGTTGGTGTTCTTTACATCAGTACTTCCCAACTGTTTCCGCTCACAGCACTCCTGGAAAATGCTGTTTTTATAGCACTCGTAAGAGGCAGCCCACAGCCAGAAAGGATGAAGGATGGGGAGGCCAACACTCAGCTCTCTCAACACCCCTGTAATCCCTCGCTCTGACTCCTCTTGGACTGGGAGCTCTGCTCAGTGTGGCGGATGCCGCCTCCCCGCCCCACTTCTGCCCCCCGAGTTACAACAGAGGGTGTCAACCCAGGCAGCATGTCAGACCTTTTTTTTTCTTTTTCTTCACATCACACCTTTTAATATCTGCTAAAGCCCAGGCCCCACTCCAAATCTATGAAATCAGAATCACTAGGAGTAAGATCTGGGCATTAGTATTTTTTAAAAGCCATAGAGGATTTCGATGCAGAGAGAATTTGATGCATTGCTGCATAATTCCAGATTAGAGCCAGGATATTCAGACATGGGCTTTAAACACCTTGATATCTTCAGAACTGTGGCTTCCCTATTGAAATAGTAAGGAATTCCAGCATCTCCAAGACACACAATCTTCCCGTAGCTCACTGAATTCCATACAGTTTATTGACTGCCTGATCCTCAGTGAACACAGTGCCAGGCACTCAGGGTACTAAATGGAGAGTCTATCCTGCTTGCCTGAAACTTCTTTTGTGGGAGGGAGACACCAGACTGCTAACTCTCACCCAGTGGGACCAAGGTTGTGCTTTAGGTATGAACGTGGCTTTGGGAGACAAATGGGAGAGCCACTGGTTTGCTGGGACTGCAGAAAGTTTAATGGGAGAGAGGGAGTGAGAGAGGGAGACAGGAGAGAGAGATTGATTTGAACTGGACTGGAAGGAATGAGATGAATATTCCTGGTGGAAAGGAAAGAAAGTGCCATCCTGACTGAGGAAGGGGACAGCGAGTGTGGTAAGTGCAGTGAAAATACAGAATGTGTGGTGGAGATCAACTTTTGATGCCTTGCTGAGAAGTTTAGATGTGATTCTATAGAAAACAGGAGGGAGGGTAGGGCCCAAGGACTTCTGGGACAATGGCGTATTTTGAATATTAGGCAGGAGACAGTAGATTCAGGAGTCGCTGTTTGAATGGCACAGTTTTTAAAAAATATATTTATTTATTTGGCTGCACCAGGTCTTAGTTGTGGCACACAGGATTTTTCCATCTGTTGTGGGATCTTTGACTGCAGCATGGGAACTCTTAGTTGCAGCAGGTGGGGTCTAGTTCCCTGACCAGGGATTGAACCCAGGCCCCTTTCATTGGGAGCACAGAATCTTAGCCACTGGACCACCATGGAAGTTCCCTAGTGACACCTTCTTGACAAACCCTGCAGGGAACCTCATACAGCCCTCTACCCCTAGTGGCCCATCTATTGCCGCACTTGTCAGGCTTCGCTCAGGATGCTCGTTAGCCTAGAAGACCTTCCATCTCCTTCTCTGACTGCTGACAACCTCTTCATTCTTCAGGACAAAACTGATGCAAATGTCAGCTCTTCCATGAGGCCTGCACTGGGCCTCCCCTCTGTCCTGTGCTCCTCCAGCCCTTTGTAATCTATTTTATTCTGTGTTCTACTGGAGATTATGAAGAGCAGGTCTCTGTTTCTCTCCACTCCTCTTTCAAGTCCCTTGAAGACACAGTTCTCTCTTTCAGTTCCTTAGGAGGCAGTCCATTAAGTGTATTGAATTGGACTCAGTTGAAAAGCTGTTGACTGGCCCCGCCCCCTTCCGCCAAAGGATTGCGGGGAGCCTCCTATCCCCATGCAGCCGCACGAGTCCAGGTCCCTGAATCCATCACCCCCACTTGCGTCTCCTTTCCTACAATCACACATTCCCTCTCTGTGCCCAGCCTCAGTGGAGCATCCCCCTTTCTGGGAGACACGAAGCAGGAAACGCTGGCAAATATCACAGCAGTGAGTTACGACTTTGACGAGGAATTCTTCAGCCAGACCAGCGAGCTGGCCAAGGACTTCATTCGGAAGCTTCTGGTTAAAGAGACCCGGTAAGAGGACAGAGAAGAGAAGGGCACTGGCTTCTCAGGTCCTGACTCTCTCCTGCCACTTCTCCGACAGGCATGCCAGCCTGTCCCTGCTTTGCCACAGGCTGTCATCGACCATTGCAGTCTGATCTGGGCAGGTGCTGAGGAGTGTGAACTGGCCAAGACTTGGCTTGCATCTTGTTTACTCAAGTCTTTCTCATTTCTTTTCCTGCTGAAATGCAAATAACCATGTGTGTGTGTGTGTGTGTGTGTGTGTGTGTGTGTGTGTGTAAGTCAGTCTGAATTTTTTTAGATCTCTTTATTTTTTGCAGTTTGTCTCAAAGGTACCTGGAACTAGAATTGGTTAAAGGAAAGGGGCAGGGTTTTTAAGACGATTCAGGACGGGAGTGGGGAGGGTGTCCAGCCCAGAGGGGTCAGAACAGTGGGAAAATAGGAGACCTGCTAATGCCACCCCTTCCTCAGGGCTCAGGGTAAGCCCCATGGGTGTGTGATCAAAGGAGATGGGCAGGGAGTTGGAGGGTGCTGGTGCCCAGAGGATGGATGAGCTGAGGTGGGGGCAAGGTCCTCACATTCTGGAAGGCCATGTCCTTTTGATCCCCTAGACTTCAGAGAGACATAGAGTAGGGTCCTCTAAAGTGCAGTGCCTGGTTTCGCTGTTGAAGGGCAATGGTAGGAGGTATTGCCCCACCTGGGTACAGGGAAGGGCAGAGAAGAGATCTGGAAGGCAAACAGGAAAACAGAGACCAAAGTTTTCACAATGGAGAGCATTTAGGACTCTCCAATAGTGTGGGGTTGGGCCCTGCAACCCTGAACTAAAGATGAGGTTTTATATAAGGTCATTTTACTGAGAGGTCTGCCCACTGCTTTCTCTAATGTGCAGGAGATGTAGCCAGTCCCCCATCCACCTCTGCATTCCTTATGATTCTAGTTTGATGGCAGTGGTTGAAGGATGCCAAAAAGCAGGTCTGAGAAGAGTGAGAATGGAGACTTCTGCTCTCAGCTTCTCATGGATCATCACTGTTTTCTGATCTTCATTTAGGAAGCGGCTCACAATCAAAGAGGCTCTCAGTCACCCCTGGATCACGGTAAGCGCATGGTGACGAGTTTCAGCAAGCAGGTTCCTGCTCTGTCGCCAGGGATGCCTGGGCCAGATGCAGGGGACCTGTGGCAAGGCCTTTGCTTGACACACTGACCCCTAAGCACAGATGAACGCTAACTGGGGGTCTCCAAGGGTTTGGGCTTGTTCAAATAGGTCTGCGAGTTTAAGTTTCTATGTCATATGTTCAGGTGACTTATGAAAAGAAACTTTCACAAACCTCAATTGAAATCTTTGCTCTTTGGGTGTTCTTACAAACTGTTCTTTGTCAGAAGACTCGTGTACGTGCTAAGTCGCTTCAATTGTGTCCAGCTCTTTGCAACCCTGTGGACTGTAGCCTGCCAGGCTTCTCTGCCCGTGGGATTATCCAGGCAAGAAAACTGGAGTGGGTTGCCATGCCCTCCTCCAGGGGATTTCCTGACCCCGAGATAGAATCTGCGTCTGTTACATCTCCTGCACTGGCAGACGGGTTCTGTACCACTGGCGCCACCTGGGAAGCCCCTGTCAGAAGACATGTCAGTTATTCTCAAAAAAGAAATCAGGACTCCTCGGCTATAGAGAGGGATCAGCGACAGTTGAAAACCTCAGATTTGTAACCAGGGCTCCTTGTTTCCGACTTTCAAAGCGCTAAGTTAAGGATGACTCAAACCAGTCAGTGGCTTCCTTAGGCACCTGGTGACCTCAGAGAATGGGCCGCCCAGCTGGAGGCCTGCTGGGGGAGAGGCAGTCACCCCTCAGGGTAGTTCTGTTCTCTCTGGGGAGAGTGGGGCACAAAAGTGACTTCCTGCCTAACCCACTTTGTAACTGGGCTTCTGGCTGCTGGGTGTTCAGAGGGCCTGGCAGACTCGTCTCAGGAAAGTGCAGGTGATAAGCGCTTTGGCAGGATGGGAATCAGGGGAGCAGGATTCTGACCCTGGTTCTGCTGATGGATGAGATGTGCCCTTCCAGGAACATCAGCAGACCTCCCTTTCACTTAAATTGTTAAGTGGGAGAGCTGGCGAGCGTGATCTGAGGGTGCAGATGAGAACGGGCAGAGGTCCACAGGAGCTGGGAGAGCAGAGAGGGCCGGAGTGCCCTGGAGAAGGCCAGGTTCATTGACTCAGTGAAGGAAGGGGAAGGCTGAGGGCCTTCTAGGTTTGAGTGCGGAGCTGGGGAGTCTGGTGGGCTGCCTCTTAGCTCAGCATGTTAAGTGTTGCTGAGGCCCAGGGAGCCCACAGGCCCTGATGGAGAGAAACCCCAGCTTCCCCCATTGGCCATGGCCTTGCACGCTTCTGCTCTGGAATGGATGCTTGCACAATCCTGGCTGTAACCTGCTTGACTGTGCGAGTACCCTTAAATGCTATGTGTGCAGAGACCCTCTCTAATGACCGTGGACCACCCTGCCCTGAAATGTGTGTGCAGGCAGCACCCTGTCCTCCTCGACCTTTCTGATGGTCTGTGGGGGTACTCATCCCGCCCTGGTCCTCCCGTGGCCTGGCGCATGTGGTGAATGCAGAGACAGCTCGAGTGCCTTCCTCCTGCACCTTGGAGCAGATGTCAGATTAACTCTGGCCCTTCTGTCTAAACACCCACCAGTCCAAAGGAGAGATCAGAGCCCCAGAACAGCACAAGGCAGAGCCCAACCAGCTGAAGACCAAGCGCCTGAGAGAGTACACCCTCAAATGCCACTCAAGCATGCCCCCCAACAACACCTATGTCAACTTCGAGCGCTTTGCCCGTGTAGTTGAGGACATGGCTCGGGTGGAGCAGGGCTGCCGGGCCCTGACAGGGGCCCATGACACCATCCAGGACGACGTGGAGACCCTGATCTCCATCTACAATGAGAAGGAGGCTTGGTACCGGGAGGAGAGCGAGAGAGCCCGGCACGACCTGTCTCAACTCAGGTATGAGTTCCGCAAGGTGAAGTCCTCGAGGAAGCTCCTACGAGAGGACATCCGGGCCACGGGGTCCCGCCTCGGGGCCGCAGCCAGGAAGCTGGACCACCTGCAGACACAGTTTGAGACCCTGAGGCAGGAGCTCTCAACAGACCTCCAGTGGCTCCAGAAACTGGTGGGCGGCTTCCAGCTGGAGAGCGGGAGTGTGGACAGCCCAGGTTCCATGTTCTGCCGGGACGCCAGTGAGTCCCTTGGGGAGCTGCTCAACAGATCATGCAGCGAGGAAGTCTTGGCCAGCTTGAAGCTCTGAGCACCAGCCTCAGGTCACTAATGCATCCTGGATGGTTTGCTGAAGCCTGCTCCCATCCCAACTGCCCTGCCAGGCATCGACTCAAATCTCCTGCAGGGGTGTGTGTCTGTAGCATAGCCTTCCACCTCCTCCCAGAATCCAGAACCATGGAGGGACTAGCTAGTTGTCCATTCTGTGCCTCCTCTCACCTGCCTGGTTTGTTGGAAGGATGACTGGCCAGGCAGCCAGGCTGTTAAAACAATTGCTGTTGAATACCGCTCAGCGTTCCCTTCTCCAGAGGGAGAGAGCTGGTCCTGGGGAGACACTCAGTAACTGATTTGTGATAATGGACTTGTTCACATCTCACTTCCCGCTTTATGGACTGCAGGTCTTGGGTACCATTTGAGTTAACTAGGGCTAATAGTCAGTCAGCTTGTTGCTTTCCTGCTGCTGATGGCAGAATTTTAAATTCACAGAGAAAAGATTACTTTTCATTTACATTGACAATTAACTTACCAAGCATTTGTGTTTGTGATCCTTAAAAAAAAACTCTGTGAGACAGGAAGGTAGGTGGTATTATTGTTGTTGTTACTGTTATTTCCATGTAACTGATGAGGAAACTGACCTCCAGGGGAAATGACTTACTCAGGATCATTCACAGCTAGCTGATACAGATGAAACACAAGTCCAGAATGCCTGAGTCTAAGATGAGGTATATAGGAACAGATAGCTTTTGATGTAAAAATGCACTTTAATATTAAAGTTCAGATCCCACAGGTAAAATAAACAACTTCATGTATTTTGCCAGGTAATGTGGAAGCCTCATAACCTCTAACCGACTGTCCTAAGAAGTGTGTCTCTAGAAGGCAGGCAGTTTATTGTTCCCATCCAGCTCTTCCCTGTCTGAAGATCAGCCTGTGGAATAGGAAGGAAGGGGCAGCTTCTTGCCCTTCTCCACCTTCCCTCCTGTGGCTCAGGGCTCCAACCTTCTGTTGGGAATGAAGACCCTTTTCTCATGTTCCTAAGGTCTGAAGAGGGTGGACATTAAGACTGGGAAGCATGAGGCCCAGTGGTTCCTTCCTGACCACAGGCTGTGTGCACCCCTCCCTAAAGACTGGATCATCTCATCTCCCTCTTCCCAGAGGAGGAGACAGCCAGCCAGCTCACAGAGGCAGAGTGTGGAGAGTGGGCCCAGCGCCGTCCTAGAGGCTTGGGGGTGACAGAACAGATCATATCATTCCAAGGTGCCTTCACAGACTCATAAACCCCCTTGTCAGAGAGGAAGGGTAGGTGTTATTCTGAATTTGGTGCTGAGGAAACAGAGAGGGTGTGATTTGCCCAAGATCACAGTAGTGGCAAAAGTAGAAGCCTTCCGATGGGGTCTTCTGCTTCCTTCCCCTAGCTGCCCCAGGCTCCAGGGGTTCACTCTGCTGTGGGGCAGGTTCTACCTAGACACATCCATCTATCCACTTACAAAGAATTGTTCAACACCTGTCAACTGCTGGGCATTTGTCCTGTCCCCAGGAATACAATGTTGAGTGAAAACAGGTGTGTTTCCTGCCTTCATGGAGTTTGCAGTGAAGGACTCCACGTTGATCTAGAACATTCTGCAGAGGTGGAACTGCAGCTGGGACAGATGCTATGAGAAGATTGCAGCACTGCAGGAGCCTGCAATGGGGGGTGACCTAGTCAGAAAGGGTGTCCCTGAGGTGGTGACTCTAGAGCTGAGATCAGCGAAGCAAATCAGAGAGAAGGTAGTTTTCTCCACAAGACTGTCATGCCAGGGCTCTGTGCTGGGAGGGGGCCTGAGAGCTGAAATTGCTCAGGCAGAAAGAAAGCTGGAGAGGAGAGAAGAGGAGTATGATGTAGATGTTGCTGGAAAGAAGGCAGGACCAGCAGGGCTTTGCCGTACTGAAGAGCTCTGTCTCCATCTCAAGGTCATGGGACTGAAATGGGTGCCCAGCAGTCAGCAGCCCGATGTCCTGGTAGGGGTGGGGCTGCCCAGGGAACAGCACAGATGGGACGTGGTTTAGAATGATCCCATGAAACCATGTCTTTAAAATCCTACCTCCTTTTCTATTACATGCTGGATCACTTCAAATATTATATATAATATTTGTAACAAACAGTTTTCATCAAGTAGAAGAAACCATATTTTCATCAAATGTAAGATGCATCATTATTTTATGACCCCAAAATAAATTTAAAAAGAAGCCCAAGATGGGAAGTCCAAGAGAAAACCCCAAATACAAAGCTGGGACACCCTCACTGAGAGGGGAGGTGAGAAATAAAGCCACCAGGTAGGAGGAGAAGGCAAGGGAATGTGTGCATCAGGCTTGACACTGGGTTGCTCAGTCGCTCAATCACATCCGACTCTTTGCAACCCCATGGACTGTAGCTTGCCAGGCTCCTCTGTCCATGGAATTCACCAGGCAAGAATACTGAGTGGGTAGCCATTCCCTTCTCCAAAGGATCTTCCCGACCCAGGGACTAAACCCAGATCTCCCGCATTGCAGGTGGATTTTTACCCCCTGAGCCACCAGGGAGGCCCTGACGCTGGGGAGAGGGGTGGAAAAATCCTCCCCTGAGAACAGGAGCCCCAGGTGGGTGGTATTCAGACAAGACTCCTTTCTGCATTTACACAATTAGTGGAATCCAAACGAACCTCAAGCAAAAAATCTAATGTTAAACAGTCTGAGGCTGGGTTGCGCTAATGGCTGGCAGAAGCAGTGTGGTCATCTCCTGGAGTACCTGCCTTCACTTCAGACCCATGGTAAAGATACGATGCCATTGTTTGAGAGATAAGTTCTGATTTCAGAGATCCAA